ACTTACACAGAAAACTAACATTTCCGTTATCTTGTTATGAAGAGTTTTAACATTACTTTAATATGACTAATAATTGGCATTAACTCAACTGATTATTAGGACAAAAATATGAAGGGTAGGAGAGAACTGATAAAATTATCTAATTCAACTTTTATGATGTGCATCTTTTCTCTTTCAAAAATTCAGTTTTGAAACTATAGGAAATCTAAAATTGATTTTCCTTCTACATGATCATACATGTACAAACTTATCTTTTATATCATGTTTTTAAAATGTTTTATGTAAAAATATTAAAGTGACATGCATCCATGTTTCTTTTTTCAAAGTAAATTATTTGTGGTGCAGTAAGACACTTTTTTGAATGTATTTATAGTGATCAGTTTTAGTTTAACAGAACACTGCTGCCCCCTAAAGGGAAAGTTGTTACGTCCTTTTGCCCCAATTACAGTTTTCACTGTCTTACGTATAGATTCTATAAACAACTGCCATTGACTTAAAATTAGGCTTCTGCTAATAATATTAAATTGATAAAAATGAAATTTAAAATTGTTATTGGGTTTTCTGTATGTGGGGATAGAGGGAATAAATGGTAATGGGAAATATATTTTTTAAATAGCTGAATTTAAAAAGAGGTCTCTACTTATTTATAAGGCCAACACAGTACCTTACAATTACTACTCAATTCCATCAGCCCATTGGTACAGGTGTGAGCGAAGACAAGAGTCTAGAAAAATTATTCTATATTATTGTTTAATAGTTGATTAATTAATTAGTATTAATTAGCTAAACATTAATAATATTTATTAATTTGTTATTAATAATAATTATTATTAACTAGAGGCCCAGTGCACGAAATTCGTGCACGGGGGCAGAGGGGCTCCCCTTAGCCCAGCCTGCACCCTCTCCAATCCGGATCCCCTCGGGGGATATCCGCCGGCCTTGTCGCCCCTCACTGACCCCCTCTGCCGGCCTGGTTGCCCCTCACTGACCCCCCTGCCGGCCTGGTTGCTCCACGCAGCCTGCTATTTGGTTGTTACTGTGAGGGCGTCCTGACCAATTTGCATATTACCCATTTATTAGCATAGATAAGTATTAATTGAGTAGCTCATTAATTGACTGTTGAAGTTTCATAGTTGATAAAGCCTCTCTCCCTTGGTGAGTTGAGAAGCTTCACCCCTGTGACAGCTGTCAATGACACATGGTTTCTCACAGCAGCCTGTTTACTGTACTTTTTCTGAAGGTCAGGGCCATGGAAGAGGAAGCGCTGGCCATGGGGACCATGCAGGGAGGGCCCATGTGACAGCTGCTTCTCTGCAAGACCCGTGCCCCCCGCAGCGGGCCTGGTGCACCAGTTCTGTGCGTACAGAGCGGACCCCGGCCCCTGCAAAGCCTTGCTCCCAAGATTCTTCTTCAATGTGTTCTCAGGCCAGTGCGAGGCCTTCATGTATGAGGGCTGCAGAGGCAACCAGAACCGCTT